CCCAACCAGACTGGTCTTGTGGCAGCAGGACCTGGTGCGGCATGCGGGGACCATGTGCCAGGCCCACCCGGGTACTGGGACCCCACTGCAGCCCAGCCAGGCTGGGCCCAGATCCCTGAGGCTCGCTAGTCTGGCTTTGCACTGGTGCAGTTCGCACGGCTCCTGGAGGCGCATGCAGGATTGTGCCTCCCGGAGCCCTGTGACCTGCTCTGGTGCAAGGCCAGACTAGTGAGCCACATGGGGTTAGGTCAGGTCCTCACCCCCTTTCAGGTACAGGGGACAGAGGCGGGAGCTGATCCAGGGCCCAGCCCATGCTGACAGGAGTTGGCCCAACCCTTCCTATAGCTGCAGGACCTGGCCCGGCACGCTGGGACCATGTGGAGCTGTGTCCTGCCAGCCCCAAGCGGCTCGTGTTCCCCAGCCTGGCCCGGCATGCAAAGACCGCATGGAGCCGAGCCGGGTCCTGCCAGCCTTGGGGCTGCTTATGCTGCCCAGCTGCCAGGCAGCATGAGCAGCCCCAGGGCCAGCAGGACCCAGCTCAGCTCCATGTGGTCACCGCACGCCAGGCCAGGTCCTACAGCTATAGAAAGGGCCTGCCTGCAGCAGGATCCGGTGCAGCACATGGGAACCGCATGCCGTGCCAGCTCCTGTCAGCATGGGCTAGGCCCCAGAGCTGGCTCCCGCCTCTGCCCCCTGTACCTGCGGGGGGCGGTGAGGACCTGGCCCAGCCCCATGTGGCTTGCTAGTCTGGCCTTGCACCAAAGCGGGTCACAGGGCTCCTGTGCACACCTCCTGGAGCCGTGCGACCCGCTCCAGTGCAAAGCCAGACTAGCGAGCCTCAGGGATCTGGGCCAGGTCCTCACCCCTGACCCTGCAGCCCCAGGGACATCCCCTCCCACTCTCCAAACCCCAGTCCACATCCCCTTGCCTCTCCTCACCCCCCCAACACCCATGAATCCCCTCCCGCCCAACCTACCTTGGATAGTGCCGGGGGCAGCAGAAACACAAAAGAGACGCTCTGGCCAAAACCAGAGCGTCTCTTTTGGAGGACTGGCTCCGGGCACGATGGTGAACCATGCCTTGCTCCGCTCTATTGCGAAGCGGTTTTTTTAGACCCCTGGGTATCCAGGGGTCTATAATTTTCTCCCCGTGCTGCAAACTTGCAGTGTGGGGAACATTTTTTCGTTCCTGCATGTGCCTGTTGCCCTGCCTCAAAGGGGTTTGAGGTGGGGCAACAGGCACGTGCGCGCTCATCTGGACATGCCCATAGAGGGTAAATTCAGGTTGGATATAAGGAAAAACTTCTTCTCTGTAAGGGTCACCAGAATCTGGAACGCGCTTCCAGCAGAGATGATGCAGTCGCCCTCCTTGGAGGCGTTCAAGATGAGGCTGGACAGGCACCTTGCCGAGCTCATCTGAGCCCAATACTTCCTGCCCATGGCAGGGGGCCGGACTGGATGATCGTACAGGACCCTTCCAGTTCTATGATTCTATGATTCTAAGTCTTACTCCTCCACCTGCTGAAAGGGTCCCTCTCTCTCTCTTTTTGCTCAAACAGGAACCAGGGCTTGAGGTTAAACAGTAAAGAAGACAAAAGAAACCTCAAGGGAAAGCAAATTTCAAGAGTAAAGCCTGCTAAAGGCAGGAACTGAACCAATGACTTCTGTGGTTACAAACCAACCCTCTCCCCATTGAGCCATAACATCAGGTTCTGAAACTGAATTTTGAGGGTACTTAGATGTTAAGGTATTACCATATTGGGGGCCCTCTAACAATGGTGACTTAAGAGCTCAGATGGAAATTCTCTTCTCCAGTAATAAAGTATTACTATATCAACAATTAATGGTACTTTTTTTGGTATTTCAGTGCCCCAAAATATACCTAGAATTCAACTGTAGGTATGGTCTCATGAGCATCCTAATTTCTGTGACAGGTTATGTCTTTATATACAGGGTTTGAATTATACTTTGGCTCTCGGCGGGGTCTGCAAAAAAAATTAAACTGGTTCATTGATTAACAAGTTCACCTAAGTGAAGGAGCAATCCAATCAGAGACCCCCCAGGTTATTTTTCAAATCTTACAGGGGGCTCTCATCTCTTATGGAGGGGGGCCTTAGGCCCCGCCCCCCCCCCCCCAAGCTCCATCTCAGTTCACACCCTGTTTATATAGAAACATTTTGTATTTTTGCTACTCTATATCTCTGGATGCACATAAATAATTTGCAGCCCACTGTTACTGCTGGTAAGGAAATGTTGACCTACCTGACCAACTCAGAAAAAGAAAAGAAAAAAAAAGTTCAATATAGGTGAACAGTTACATAGTCTTTAAAGGTTATAAAATTTAATTTGGTATATAGAGCTCTCTTTCTATGTATATTTTTGTTACAGTTGTGATCAGATCATCTAACAGGAAAAGTAATGGACAACAGGACACTGTTAATTACATAACATGCCTGGTTTAGCAATGAGAATACATCTGGCCTTCTATAAGATTTTCCATGTAGTATTAAAGCAGTTCAACAATCCATCTGTGAGGCAGGCCTAAATATTCTCATTTAACAGATGAGGAAACTGAAGCACAGCATGCTAAATGTATTGCCCAAGGTTGCACAGTGAGTAACAAAATCTCTTCTGTTCATACCGTGCCTTGCACAGTGGAGCTGACGGCTCTAGGAGACACCTGCAACATAAATCATATGCAATGTTTATACAAATCTTTACACCATACTTGATGGCCCAGGTGCCCCCTTACAGTACTAAGTCTTATAGTATAATCACTAGCTCTGAGAGGGGAGAAAATACAAAATTGTAATTCTTTTTGCATTCTGTATTAATTTGATAAATTGTTTAAATGAAAGCCTGTGAATTCCATTTACTATGTAAAATCACTATGATAGTGACTATAAACCTCCCATTCATGACAAGCAAATATTCTCATCAGTGATTAAAATGAACAAGTTCTAAAAGGACTTACACCTGTGGGTATATGAGGAAACCACCTAAAACTGACAATAAACACACAACAAATGAAATGTCTTGCATGTTAGCTTTATTAGAGGGAAGAAACACTATTTACTGCCATTATCTGTCAGACATACTGTCATATACAAGTCTGAACACTGACGCAAGAACCAGTAATCTAGTCCAGTTAAAATCCAAATTTCCCCAGAGTACTCAGAGTGGTTACTGAATATTGAATCTCACAGGAAAAAAATTCTGATCTGAGATCTTACTAATGGAGGGCACCTTGAATATTTTACTTGATATTTTAAAGTAGAATACCCATGACGGTCAATGGACATTTGATGTGCATACCTACCCCCCCACCACACACACACAAATAATACAAACTATCAGAGTTAAGGTCCTGTAAGCAAGTCTGAGAACAGAATTTTGCCTACAGGAAAGTAACTCATTTCTCTATCGAAAATCTCATAAATGAGATTTATGAAAATCTCATAAAGCTAATAAGTGAACTAATCTGTGTGCAGTAGACATAAATAAAAAGTATCCGATTTTCAGAAGTAAACAGGGCTTTGTATAGAGGTACTGAATTGTTCTCTTATCTCTTTTAAATACACCTTGCACATCTACACGTTCATTAATGCGCTTTAGGTAATGCACATTATATTTAGTACCTCCACTGTGAGAAACTATAAAAAGTTGCATTAGTCTATTTTAATGTGCATTAACTAAAGACCATGGGTTTTTGTGACACTTTAATGCACATTAAAATAGGCTAATGCATATTAAAGTGCACTTGTAGATGCACCCTTTGAATGTTTATTATTGGGATAGTTTACATAACATAGGAAAGGGATCCAAACCAGAACATTCAGATATGGTTTCAAATTTCCTTAGAAATTTCAAACCAGGAGTTTTGTTTTAATCCTCTAAATAATTCATTAAAAAAATTGAATATTGTCATTTAGATATAAAGCTAATACTTACTGCTAAATGGTTTAGATATAGTAAAAAAAAGTTTAAATTAACACCAGTTTTGTTTGCTTGTTTTATTCTTGCAGGTATTTCTCAGAAGTATGGTGTTAAGTGCCCTCTGCTGGCAGATTATTTTCATAGCAGTCTGAAGCAAAAAGAGAACACTGTTTGCAGACTGCTTTATACCTTGTGTACCCAATGCAGCAAAACATATCACCAGTTAGAATCCTCCACTTACTTAGACATATCATTTTATGTTCATGTTGAACACAGGAAAGACCCAACCAATGTTCTTTGAAGTTAATGGATCATTTTTGTCAGTGGGCACAAAAAACAGGTTTCCCTCGCTTTATGTGGGTTCTGTATGTGAAAATTCACTCTTATGCAATGACAATTTTTATACCAAAAATGTGTTATATGCAAAGTAAATTCACTCTTATGCAGTCAGTGTGATGGAAGTCCACAATCAGCTGCTTTGTGCAGTGCATTGTGGGAGTGAGGCGCACCAAAATACAGTCTCCTGTGTGGATGTGTGTTCCTCACTTGTTGTCTGACACAGGTTTCTATAGTTGCCATCTGCGTTATGATACTGCCCTGTGCTTGTGTGTACTGTCTGGTGTTGGTGAATACCAAAATCATCTTGTAAAAGTAGTAGAAATAGGTGTGGGGGTCAGTACAATGACATCTTGGAATGTATCTGTATTTGTTACATTGTAAAGTGGGTTCCCTTTATGCAAATTTAAGTTTTGTGCTGTTTTCCAGGAACACATGTACAGCATAAAGCAAGGGAAACCTGTACACGTGCCACTATATTGCTGTAGCAATGTGTTACTGTGATATAGCATCCGAGGGCAAAAAACCTGATGCTGCAGCTATGTAGCCATAGCGATGTACTCCCTCAGTACAGGGCATTGCTACAGTGACATAACCCCTAAAAATAACCATGCGCAGCACACATGGTGCAGTATGGGCTGTTACTGTGCAATCATTTAGTACTCCCAAAAGGAAGTACTAAATGACAGCACAGTAACCATGGTGCCTTCAGAGCACATGTAGATGTGCCCACTCTTTAGACTTTACAAAGAGCCTATAAAACCAACACAGAAGCAACATGTTGGTGAAGTACAGCAGTGTGCCTTGGACCTCAAAAGCAAGGCATACAGTGTATTTATCAGGTGTTCCCTGGGATCCCCTGCCAGCCAGAGCTGCTACAACCTGGCTCAGTGTGCTGCAGTCCAGGCATACATGCAGACCCACACCCGGGAGCTTCCCAGGAGCAGTAAACTCCCTAGGTAATTGCTGCCCCCTAGTGGCACATGTAGACGCAGCCTCTGAGTTTAGAATGCAAACTCCTTTGGTCAGGGATTGAGGCTTATTTTAGTTGGAAAGAAGTTATCACACGTTGGTCATTGCTAGGAAGAAATATAGATAACGATAACCATTGCACATAAAGTTTCATAAACTGCAAACTGATATTTTCATACCTTTAGTACTACTTTGTGAACAGATTCTTCACAAGAGTGTCTTGCTTGTAGCTAGTATTGACCAGCAGCTTAACTTGTGAAAGTCGTTCAATCAGCCAAGCGTGTCAAAATGTGCCATTTGAGTGACCAGCCTTTGGACTAGGAGAGATCATCTTGTCCACCTGAAAAACAGGAAAATTCTATTAGGATGTACAGTCTCTTTGTATATCGATAGCGGATTGGTAGAAATTAAAAGGAAGGGTAGCTTTCCACCCAGACTCATATTTTGTTTTATAGATAAAAGTGTTATGATAATAAATAGACTGTCAACTTTTTCATTTCTGGATTCTTTTACTTGTTGGTATTTTTTCTGATGAAAATTGGAATTTCCCCCAAAACCAATTCTTTACAAATCATTTTCAATTTCTTAACAATTTTCCTTTTTTCCCCCCCCTTTTTGCTAAGGTTTCTGCCACTGGTATTTTGAATCCAATTTCTTACTGAAAGGGTGTTGAGATGATAACGTTATTGTTGCAGCTGTCGGAAATAAAAATACTCAGCAGCGATCTCAAACATTATTTCGATAAAAAAAATAAAAGGTAGCTGCCATTTTTACAAAGCCCTGGAACGTATGTCCAGTTTGAAACCTGCAAAATGGAACCAGCAGCAAGAATACCAGAAATTCCTCTAAAATCTTTTGTTCCCCAATTATTTCCAAGAATAAGATACATTCTCTTGCCAGCCTCCTGACTGAATTGCCAACAGTGGTAAAACCTTTCACCAGTTGATGCCTGGCTGAGGCACAGTAGTTTGCTGGCTATAGTAGGTACTAGTAAAGGGGGACAACAGAATCCACTTTGGATGCACTTAGCCTTCGGAGGAAGGCAGCAGTCGTTAACCTTTCAGACTGGAGGCCGCCCTTGGAAAATGCCAGCTCTGGGTTTTGAATCGTTTTTTTGACTGCAGAAAAATACGAGAGGGGTTCTTCTGTGACAGAGCTCAGCAAGACCACAGCAAGTGGATTCCTATTTGAATCTCTTGGGGTGTGTCTACACGTGCACTTTTACTGCACAGTAACTGAAATTACTGCACAGTATGGGCACATGCCTACATGTGCATGCCCATACTGCACAGGAAATATGGTGACTTCTGCCAACTTGAGTGCAAATTTGATACCTGTGTCATGCAAGTATAAAATGTATGCCTGATGTGTTACTGCACAGTAATGCTCTTGTATAGATTGATAGGTTGCAGGCTAGAAAGGACCTCGGAAGATCATCGGGTCCAGCCCCCTGCACCAGGTAGCAAAGACAAGTGGGGTCAGGTGACTCCAGCAAGGTGACATCCAGTCTCCTCTGGAAGATTTCCAGGGTAGGGGATTGCACCACCTCTGGAGGGAGCTGATTCCAGTCTAGGCACCTTGGCAGCAAAGAACCAGTCTGGACACCCAGTAATGCTGTGCGTATGTGGACTGACTTGGATGTGGGACCATAATCCCAAATCTGTCCGCACCATGGGCGACTGGTACCTCCCGAGTCTGTGGGGGGGCACCAGATCACTGATGGGGGAGGGGGAGGTCCCCCCGCGGCCGATCGCCGCTGGCGCTGCCAGGGGTTGTACGGCCGATCTCGTAGGGTCCCCAATGGTCCACGCACAGTGTGAATGTGCCTTAAGCCTGCACATGTCAACACCCGCCTATTCTTGCGCACGGTGCAGGAACTTTAAGCCGGTGTAAAGGCACTTGTACACAAACCCTGGGTTTATCTCATCACCTCGAGAAAGGCTCCCGCGGCGCCGCAGGGTGCAGGGGCGCTGGGCTCAGGAGAGCGGCCCCGCAGCCCCCGAGAGCCACGTACTTCCCACGAGCCAGGAGTAGCCCGGCCTTCACCCCGCCTCGGCCTCCCGGGTGAGACGGGAGGGGAAGGCGCAGAGGCGGGCTTACCTCGGGGCCGGCGAGGTGGGGGAGCCCCGGGGAGCGGGACCGGGGCAGGAAGGGCAGGCTCCGGCACTGACGCACAGGAAAGCCGCGGCGGCGGCGCCGGCAGCATAAAGTGCGCGGCGCTGGAGGGCGGCGGAGCGGAGCGGAGCGCAGCGCAAGGAGTCCGCGTCGCGCCGCTGGGGTCCGCTCGGACCCGCCCGGACAGGCAAGTGCGGGGCGCGGCGGGCACCGACCTCGCTGCCCCG